ATTGTCCATAACGTGTAGTTTTTGTACGTTTGTTTCTCTTCGGAAACCGAATCTTCATGCGTGAAACTTTGTGTGCTATTTCCAGTGATCACAACTGACATATTCATGTTAGGAAAGAGTGCAAGAATTTTCCGCGCAAGATTCCTTTAAAACCATGAATTTGCGTAATCTGGGTTAGAGTCACTAATCGAATTAGAGTCAGCTGTACCGACCTTGAGGTACGAATTTACGACTGCAAAGGCGCTTGGGCCCAAGGATGCAACCTAGGAGATTAGGCTGATAAGAGAATACGGGAGCCGTTCTGCCCTTTGGCGTTCCGCGGATGTCGCGATACTCTGTTATGCAGTGCAGTCGCGATACTCTGTAATAATTGTATTTAGTGGCACCACCACACAGGTGCACCATCTCGCTTATGGCGGTTGGCCTGACCATACAGCACCATCCTCTCCATTACCGACTGTTGTTCTTCTGAAATTAGCAAGAATCCTTTCTGCCGGAAACCCGATCACAGTTCACTGTTCCGCAGGTATCGGAAGATCAGCAACTTTTATAGGTTAGTGGATTCTTTATCTTATTCGAAGGCCGCGTTATAGAAAGCGACAGAAATTCGCATTTAGCAGTGTTGTTGTCCTTCGCTCCTCTATCGGAACCACGCGCTGCAGCGGATGCTTATTAAGGACACGGGGAAAAACCTTCCATTTTGAATATTTGGCATAACTTAATGCACAAAGTTGAAATTAGAGCAGCACTCGAATAACAATCAATATACAGCAAATGCTTCGTTTACTAGTATGTGCAAGGTATCAGCCTTTTCGAGCGTCGCACGATTCACACCATTCGCAGTTGTCACATGCGCAAGCCAGCAAATCATTTGTGGATATTCTTCTCATTGGACAAAAGCGTTTCATAGAATTTCAGAGAGCGTAAACTGTTTGTCAAAGTTTCTACAGCAAACTTCAAAACATTGTTTGAAGCCCACCAGCCACGCAGCGCGGAATCTGGGTTGACTTTGTGACTGATCATTTCAGGAATCGACTACGCTGTGCAAAAAATTCTTCAAAATCCAAATACTTCGATGATAGAGGTGTTGAAAGATTTAAGAAATCAGCGTTTTCATGCTATACAATCGGCTATCCAGTACACATTTTTACATGTTTGCATCATTGAGGTCTTTATCGAGGTAAGTCGAATGAATGCACAATGCTCAGGTACAAAGGAAAGCCTGGAACATATGATCAGATACGTCAAGATTTTAATTATTTTTTTAGGATGGGGTTGTAAGTCGTGAAGGAAATGTGCAAAAATTTTTCGACGCATATAACCGTATGCTAAAGAAATACAGAAAAGTTTGTGAACCTGAAGTCGAAGTAAAATCCATGATGAAGTGAACAGTGAACGTCTTTGTTGTGATGAAGCTAATTTATTATATATGAACAGCAATTAGATAAATAATTTTAACGAAGCAGTGCTGTTTGTCGAACAATCTATAAGACCTTAAGAAGGATAGAATAGGACAATTTTTGCCGCTTGCATTGCTTGTAGAACTTCTGAACAGAGTCTAAAGTAGTTAAACATCAGTTTTAAATTTGCTACTACTGAATTGTTGGAAAAGTCATTCATTTGATTTTTTTTTTAATTTTTAATTTTAACATTTAATTTTTATCTTGTATTTTTGGGTCATTTCAAAACATTCACTGTGGAACAATGGGGTCACTGCACTCTTCAGAGCAATTCTAGTGTAGCATTCGCAGCTATTATGGTAGAAAAATCGCCTAGTTGTTGCGATGGTCTTCCGATCACTTCGTAACATGTCAGTTGTTTGGTTCCTCGATGTCCAGGTAGAGGAAACCGCAAATCTGATTACCTTGTTACACTGAATGAAGCGTGTATTCTGAAGTCGGTTGGGAAAGATCTCTCACGATCAGTGCAATACATGGAAGAGTGGCGAGAATTCTTTCACTTTATTCGAACTTTTTTGTTATTTCGTTTTCCCGTTCCTCACACGCCAAGGAAGAAAAAATGTGACGAAAAGGATACTTTTAGTGCGATCTCAGCAATTCCATTTTACGGCAACAAACATTTCACAAGAACTGTTAATTCACTCCTCTTGTTGCAGCCGAAACCTCAATGGTTTGTAAAGGAACTGGGACACTCCACGTTAATCCATTAGCGAAGCACCGCTGGCTCGTCGAGAGAACCAAAGGCCTCCAACGCCTATTCCAACACTGCAGCCTGAGAGGCAACTTTCAAGATTGATGAAGGCGCACACGTTTTGCTCGCTGAGAACTGTCACTTGACTATGCAAGGCCGCTTTTGGCCAGCTTTTCAGATACGGTCATAATGGCCTACGATCCGTCGAGGACCTCACTAAGCTTGAATCGTGCAACATGTTTCCTGTGGGGTGATTTCCTGCCGTTCTTTGCCGGTACAAGGTCTGTATGGAATTTTTCCTGATTTTTTGGACTGGACCTCTTCAATTTTTAGTTGAGAACTTCATCTCAAATTTAGGAGAAAGTAATCATTTGTAGCTAGAAGTGACCACCTTTTTGCCCGCAACCCCCCCCCCGCCTGTAGTTGCATTCGCGCTTATTTCTTATGTACTCCAAGATTTTTTCAAAGTGATTTGAACGCGTCAAGTACTGAGAACCTGATCAAGTACGATTCCCAGAAGCTGCATGCAAAGAATTTCACATTCGCAAGTGCGCCTCCCGTCTTCAGTAACCTAAAAGTGACATGGAAGAACGACACTCAGTTTCTAATCGATGCCTGCTGAAAAATGAGCTCGTAGCAATATTCCAAGCATTTTCTTGAGAAGCTGTGAGAATCCTTGTGATGATGGAAACAAGTAAAATTTGTCGGTCGCTGAAGAAAAGCTGCTTATTGCGGAGTTGTTGGACCTATGTACGATGCTTATTTTTAACCACACTAAAAACATAATTATGTAGTAAAAATGGGCGGAAGTGGTGTAGTGGCAAGTGGCACGCTTACCACGCGAGCGGTCCGGGGATCAAATCCTGGGTCGTGAGTCGCCCGGGCCAACCAAGCCTTCCATCCCTCCGGGGTCGGTTAATTGGTACCAGACTTGTCTGGGAGGATAAAAACACTGACTTGTACATCGGCTGGCCCCCGCAAGTCATTGTATAGGCCACATCGCAACGCCACTACGAATGTACAAATGGAAGTAGAATGCGTGCCGCATCCCAAAAAGGGATTGATCAACGGCAAATGCTTTATCCTTTATCCTTTAGTTTTGTTCCACTTCATGTCAACAACATGACCAATACATGATAACTGCGCTTTTCAGTAAACTCTACCGCGACGTCTTCGATAAGTACAATACCGCTCACAGAATGTGAAAAAATGACGGTGATTGACCGTCGCACCTATCAAAGACCGTCGCACTACCATAACTCCGCTGAAAG